CGAAGAGTTAGGTCCGGATCCGCCTTTCGGGCGGATCCATTCGAGGTCTGAGAATAAGGCAAGAATAACCCAGAACCCTTCTAACCTAACTGTGACCCGTTTGCAGTGTTTAACAGTTGGGCGGAAATCTGACCCCAGTTTTGCTCCGCTGATTTGGGGGGACACTTCGTCCCCTTATTAATGTCGATCTGAAAGGGTATGTACCCACTAACTGGCCCTTTGGAAACGTTACATTTTTCCAGACCCTCGCGCATGGCAGCATGATTGAGTGCCTACACACTCCATGGTATGTTTTGTAAGGTAAAAAGGGTCATTTCCTCGGTGTAGGTGTATGCGATGGAGGAAAGTATTCACTGTCTGGTAAGTCGTATGGCCTGAGAGATTGCTATACGATTCGAAAAAGTGAGGGAAACGGACGCGGTCAACCATATATCGTGGCTTTTGCTCTGCGAAGGGTGTGGGTCTGTTTGGTCGGAGATTGTATCGATTTGAGTTATTGCCATTTAAGGTCAACGGTGCATGTCCAGTCTCGGAGTTTGTTGAGTTGAGGTAACTCGGTCCCTTTTCCGGATTGGAGAACGAAGGTTGAGCTTGACGTTGGGAGTTGCATCTTGCATGAAAACTCCTCGTCCTTGAATGGCCGATTTGCTTGGAGCTCCTCATCTTGACTGGGAAATTACGCAGTGAATGAGAGGACCCATTGCTTGAACGTGGTATGGCGGGAATAATTGATTCATGTTCTATTTGCAGCTAAGCTGAAAAGAATTCGACCATGCAAAATCAAACGCAAAATAGCGCAGGCCAAATTTCCAGGCCAAAATTGGACTTGGATATTCATCTGAAGAAAACGGCGCAATCTTTAATCTGTCCATCCCTGTTAATCTACGATCGCTGTCATTGAATTGTGAATCCCTATCATTTTTCGAACGTCGTCCAACGTGGGATGCGCTGGCAACTGATTATGTGCCAGAAAATAGCTGACAGCATGTTCTAATTTGCTGCAGAGACTGATAATATCAGGCCGAGTTGCCGAAACATGGAACATCAAAGCCTTCATCTGCATCTGAGTGAATTGGCCATTTTCTCTGCATGATTTTTGCCAGGGAATTTTCGACCTTTATGGTAGCGCTTACATTGTCCTTCCACAGTCTTGGCCAACAAGCAACGTCATACTTAGACCTTGTGACACCGACCATTTTTTACCAACCTGCTTATATCGAAAGATAGCGTCGCGAACAAGTGACTTTCTGGGAACAGGAAGGCGTCGGTCACCAGGATTGCTAATGGCTGCCTCGATGCAGTTAAGAACATGGGTGGTGAACTTCCTCGGTCCGAGACCGAGACGCCGATTCTTTTCCTCTTTGCAGATGGTCTCATAGAGCATGTTGACTTGGACTTTTGCGAGTCGGATCCTCATGTAGTTTTCCGCGCTTGGATTGCCCATGTCTTTGATGTATCTACAGATTCCAGCGATCCTTTGTCTTGCAGACGACCCTGGTGAAACACCCACGAAACTCCACAATCGTTCAGCTTGCCAGTGATTGACTTGTGATTCCAAGTGGGCCAAGTCTTGGTCACCTAGTTCCATAGTTTGTCGAAGTTTGTTTGTACTTAAATCCGGAAAAAATAGTATCATGTTTTGAGCATGGTCTAGGGGCGCAACTTCAGGGACCTGGGCATGTTGCAAAGCTTCAAGGGAAAGAGACTGACTAGCGGATTGATTTCCCTCAGCAGGGTCATCCACCATATGTGGACTTAAACATTGCTCAGCAGCTTGGGAGATGAGCGCCGCTGGCTCTTCCAGTGGTGGACCCATGCCAATGCCATTCATATGTTCGGGCGCATTATGTAGCGTAGAACCCTCTAGGCCAGTTGCCGGTCGCGGCGTACAATCGAATGTGGACTGGGTCGGGTACAAATGTGCGGGTCTTGGCACATCCAGCAACTGGAAAGGATCGAGATCCGCCGGACTCGAGAAATCAGAGCCTAAGGTATTGGTTCCTGCGTCCGGACTGGGAACTGACTGGGGGTTGGATAGGAGGTTGTTTCCAAAGGCTGTGGTTTTGGCGGACTAATCTCCGAGTTCGAAGGTATGGGCGAGATACCGAGATCGTGGGTGAACTCACTGAACTCACCCCAGCCAGTGGCTTCCGTCGTAGGACCTACAGGTATAAAATCAGTACATGCAGTGTCGAACAAATTGCGTAGCAAATCAAAGCAGAAGTTGAAATGGAACAAGCTATGCACCGTCATTTTCTCCAACCTGCGAGTCCAGTAAGACTTGATTTCCGGGCGTGTCGAGACAACGTATGGTTGCCATCAACGATGTAATACCCACTTTGGCGGCCACATCCTGCCTCTGAGCCTCTGGAAGGGATTGAAGGGCTAAGAGTTATATCGAACCAAACCAGGGAACTGACAATCATCCGCAGCCTATATGATATCCAAGCTCTGATACTTACTTCTTCAGACCTTGCAAATTGCTGATAGCCCGATAAATCCTCATTTGAAGATGAGTCCTTGGGATCTGTCAATATCGAACAATGTAGCTCAGATAGTCCAAACCCCCATTGCTGCATGAAGCCTTCCTCTTGGGACATGTTGTAATTCCCGTATTAATGCAGACCAAACAATAAAGAGGCAAGGAAAAACGAGTGTGGGGAGGGGAGCCAAATGTACAATAAGGATGGGACGCACAGGTGCGCAGCACCTGAGCAGGGAAAGCCAAAGCTGGGAGTGAAAGTCGGGGACAAAAGAGACGGAAGAGGGGACTGGGGGGAACGACCAATTTAAAGCCAGGGTGGGGCATGGCGCGCGACCAGACGGAATGGAGGGGCAATGCTGGATCGAAGGTTCTAGTCTCCAAGCAAAGACCCCGTGAGCCTGGTGGTCGCAGAGTAGGCGGTTCTGAACCGCGAAGTTGGACATCCAATAGGCTTTTTCCCACGCACCTCCACTACCACAACAAGCTCTTTGTCAACTTCATACAAAGACTTGGAGGAAGATAAAATAATTTCTCTAGACGCTTCAGCACCATTTGTGGCACGACCACTCTCACACTGGGAGTCTCTGATCGTAAAGGAAGGCCTCCAGGGCAAGGAGAAAAGGTTCTACGTCAGTGTGGAGACGATTTGGTCAATCTCAGTTCCACGAGACCCACAACCTATTTTTAGCTCAGTCAAGGCTCCCATAAAGCCAGACCAAAGGCCTTCAGCTTGAAAGTGTGTCTAATCGATTTCACTCAGCTCACTATGGACACTCAAGCATGTGCGACACGCTGTTCTTTAGATCGGGTAGGTATTCATTTAAAAACATCACAATCCAGGAGGGACGGTCAGAAAATCTTAAGGGGAAGACACAGCCTGTTTAAGAAAACTTTCGAGTACTCTCAAGAGTGTGAAGCAGATGTTTACCTAGTTCTGCGTATGAGGAAAAGTGGATTGATATATACGCTCGCATTACAGTCACCAAACTGGCCCCCTGCAACAGAAAGCTTGGTATGTTTTGACGCGATCAATAATTCATAGTCGCTCTACATCGCCCCTATTCCGTTTTCCTGACAGATAACAGAGCAACACATATCCTAAGCCGATAAAAAATTATGATGGAAGAATTATCCATAAAATATGGGGGCGGACGTCGAAAGGGAAAGCTCCCCAAACTGGCTCGTACCGAAGAATTATCGATGAATCCCATATTGTGAAATGCATAATGGGAGTGGTTTTCCAAAGTTCGTTATTTGAGTCCTGTATCTTACTTCGTGCTTAAAGACGACCAGAGATGGAAAGATTTTACAAGAAGTAGTTACATGTACCCGGATATCAGATATCAATTTTTATTCTGCGCACCCATAACCCTATCTCCATGTAGGGCGGTGACGATGTATATCCCAGGGCACTTTAGATATATCCTGGGACGGGTAAAGATTGCTGATTGGCACTCCGCCCCCGATACAGTACAAACAGAAGAAACCAAGATTGAGGCGTGAAATATGGATGCAATCAGGGAGCATAGGTGCATCAACGTATGCCCCGACACAGTATAGGGCTTGGGAAAACGTTGACTCAGGACTTGAATAGACCCATGAGAGAAGAACCACCCTCCGATGCCGTTAACCAAAGCCATAAAGATATAAGAGGCTGTCAGTCGAGATATATCAGAAAAGACAGCGTTGTAGAGCGAGACGCTGCATAAAACCAAGACTCCAAACCCTCCAATCACCAGCACTCGTTCGCTCTTCTCTCTTGGCCAGGTTATCAAATAAGTGGCACAGACCACCCCGCCCAGTGTGACTCCCAGGAAAATGGAATTGTTGTTCCCGCTATCAGTAGCCTCTAAAAGCAAGACTGATACAGATGTCCCCCATATGTGAAGAATAATTCCAAGGTGGTCCAGCAGGAAGTAGGAAGAAGGGAGGTGCTTTCCCGATCCAGCACGTAGTGACAAAAGGTAGAAGTCCCAAAACAAACGCGATTGGCTAAGAGAGAAACCAAAGCTGTGGCCGTATCGCTTATGGATGAAGGGCACTGAGACATGTGGTAGATAAAGCACAGTAGGATGATACTGCCACATAAATGGAATCTCGGGTCGACAGAGCCGTTGGTGTGGACGAGTGTGCTTCGGGGCTTCGAAAAGCGATAGCTGGTTTCCATGTTGACAAAATATATTGTCAATGAGCACTGCATCAAATATCCCACTTTCCCTGATAAAGCGTTGATTCGTTCACGAGTCTTCTCATGCCCCGTATCCGAATAGGGCTGTTTATAATCAGAGGTATAGGGTGAGCCGAACGGAGTAATGATAGCACCAAAAACAGGGATACCTAAAGCATATCGTGCAGAGTCATCTGTCCAAGTCGTGTACAGTGCTCAATAGCCATCTGGACAGCGGGGAAGGGTAGATGAAGCTTCTACCGGGCCTGGGCACCCATGGTACGTCATAGAATAGCAAGCACCATAGTCAGCTATCCAATTAGCAAGCCTTCATTTTTCTCGTTTGTTTTAATGATGTAGCAGAGCAGGGAAGACAAAGCAGGTGAAATAGAACATAGGAACTGATGAGATGGAGAGGTACATACCAGCGCCTCCAGCATCGCTATCCTGATGCATTATATGGGCCTCAAACGGCGTCACAGTTGGAGAGCCGCAAGCCTTATTGGTGGCGATATCAAACTCCTGAGTCTGCTTTACTCAGTATGCTTACACAGCTAAAAGTGACAAGAATAGTTGCTCACTACTCACAATAATGACTCCTTTGTCAACGGTAAAATGGGGTCTCTCCCAGAGAAAGCAGACATTTGTGGCCCACAAGTGCCGGAATAGGAAATAGTGGTTGTGACGCTAATAAGACGGGTTATCAGTACTCCCTAAGTTCTGCATATCGGGATTGGGTTATTAATTTAACTCACGTGTTTGCATTGTGAGAAGTTGATAGCCCGAAGGTGCTTAGAAACTTTGTTAGTGCGCCCGTCCATCCTTTCCCCAACTGTTGCTAAAGTTAGGCATATGCAGTTTTAAAAGGCAGCAAGTACGCAAAACTGACCCCGGGAATATTGTCACTGCCCCCAATGTTGACCCCTGACGCGTCAGTAACGGAGACGCTCTTTGATATAGAGCCTGTGCCACACAAAGCGCCGCTTTCGTAATGATAGTCCCCATAGACGTTCGGGTTTGTCGACTGAATAACAGCCCTAGACGAGCTTCTCCTGCATTCCGGTATACAGAATGAACTGCTGCCAAACTCACACTCAACATCCGTGGTGTGGGGTAAGATTCTTTTGGCATAACGACTGGGTACAGCAATAGTCATATTATGGTCCGCTGACATTAGGGAATGCCTATATTCGAATCGTAGTGAGTTCAAGTTCCATAAATGTAAGCGCGGTATGCGTTTACCTGTATTTCTCAACGTCTTCAAGCGTGTAAGATAGTTTCCCATCGCTATTGAAAAACTCTGGAGTCGACATCAGATACTTCCTAATCTGCTCTGTTGTGAGTGCAGGTATATCAAAGTCCTGGTATGTCAAGTTTTTGCCATCAACAACGGCATGCTTCTCAACCATAGAAACACCGTTATAGACAGTGCTGTCAGGTTTCCACCGTCCATAATCAAGGGATTTATAAGGAGTAAAAACGGTTTCATTGCTTTCACTGAGAGTCTTGAGGAATAGCGACGGTGCGGTTCTGGCACTTTGCTGGTGTGCAGGGCTAGGATAGCCATGTGCGATGCGAACACCCAAGTGCAGTAGAATAAATAGACTTAGCATTATGGATGCAGTTGAGTTGAGCTGAAAGCAAAGTAGCCTTGGTAAAAATGTTCGGTAGTATGGAGAAGCACTGTTCGAGGATACTACTATTTATACCTAGACAGGGACATGACCAGCTGTATTCGTTCGTATCAGACATCGGAAGATTCGTTTAATCCGGGAAATGAGCCTTATCTCTGACATAGCGCCACACAGGATGCAGATAACTTGTTAGTTCCTGAAGGCGGAAAGTTACACCTGTCAGGAAAATGGAGATAGGCATCGTATTAACTCGTCAGGTACAACTGTGACCAGCCGACATCTGTGGCCATCAAATACCGTCTCTTTGGTTTACGCGTCCTTTTTACGACCTGTTGCCACAGGTAACCTTCGAGACACCTTATTCTCGAGGGTATTTTCAACCCGTCGGCCTTCAGTAGATCGTCCACCAAAACTAACACTCTTTCCAGGTCTCATCGCTGTTTTTCCCTCTTTGATTCAGTTGCTCTGATTGGCATCCAGTGTATTTCTATTGCTATAGTGGCCATTCCTGTTACACCCTCATATCGCTTCCGCGCCGCTTACGGACAGGGTACAATTACGTGGTGACGAAATCCACGACGGAAAAGGATAACACGGCCGAACTGATAACCAGTCCCTATTAAATTCACCAATCTTTCCGGACCCTCGCTACCCCAACTCCTTATATAACTGTTACCCGAACCTGTACCTACCCTGACACTTTCGGTAGGCCGCACGGCCACCTTCCTATCGCTATTATCCCTCTTAATACACTTTGACGGCTGCCTAATAGAGTACCCGATTCGGACCCCTCCGATATTACTGTCTCTTATTTGGGCTGAATTCCAGCCTCGCCAAAGGATATGGAATGTGTCCTGGGTATTATCCTCCTTTGTTGAATGGCTGTCCGACATGAGTATGTCTTTATTTGTGGAAATTCAGGATGTACAACCCAAGACGGCATGGATTTGACCTATTCTAGAGAGGTGGTTTAAGTCTGATCTCTTTCTCATTGAGAAAGAGACCCTATTTAAATGACAGAATTTTACCCGAACTGTACTCTTCATGGAAGGATGTACGCTGACTGATTCATGCCGGATATATCTGGTATACACCATCTATTCATGCAGGAATCTCAACATTATTTGCTCAGGCTCTCGCGTCCCCGGCCAATTACCGCTATTTATTTATATGTATATATATTTTTTTCTTTATTTAACAGTTAATCATTAATGAAGGATTTGAAGAGATGTGGGGTAGACTGAATTTATTCGTTAGTGAAGTGTCTTTCTTTAGTGCTGATAGAAGCTTCCGCTAGTAAAACGTCTTTCCCTAGTGCCGATAGAAGTGGCATGAGCACGGCATTATTGACCACATTGCTTGAAGATAATGACTGGACTAATTGGAGTTCTCGAATTTCCGAGCCGTGTGTGGGGGGAAGATGGGGCAATAAGGTTTTGACTCAAGCCGCCAACCAAACTTCTGTGGTTAGTTAAGGCTTCTTAATCTAGTGATAAGCAAAAAACAAGTTCAAACTTCGGAATTCACCCCCCTATCCCCTCTCCTTATTTTGTTTGCCAGGTGAAGCGGTGGTGGAGCGGTGGTGGAGCGGTGGTGGTCTGGTAGTTTCTTAGAAAGCTCAACTAAAAAAGTTAATCAAATTAATCAATATCTTGAGCCGATCTAGCTTCCTCCACATACAGGTGCTATGAAGGGGTTACTCTCTTGCTTAACCGGCAGAAGAAGTAGGGTAAATGCCACGTGCATGCGGGGCACCGGATACAGCCCGAATAGGGCAGCAGCGCGAGTTTCGGAAATCGGGCCTCCAGTTTCTACCACCCGCATGCGTGCAAGAAGGGAAAGGATGCAAATGCAGCAATCAAAGCCAAACGTGCCCAAAAATGAGAATATGCCTCTCTAGGGACTTCTACTACTACTATCGAGTTGGTATTCCGCAACGCGAATAATATTATCGCGGAAAATGCGCCCAGATGCCGTTAGGAGACGCCTTTCCCAGAATTACAGAGTCGGCTGATAGCCTTGTAGGAGGCACGCGCTAACTGATGTTGGCGTAGTTAATTATTGATGTGGGAAACTCTTGTAGCATGTGTATGATGGTTGTATTACTAGTAGAGTTATGTGGGTCACGACCCAGTATTATAGATACAGGTCTAACCCTAATGCATGAGTAGTGCGTATCAGGGTGACAGGACAATACCATCAGTACAGGGGATCCAACAGAAACATGGCCCACTAGCGTAGACGGATCTGACAGGATTAGGAATTTATGTACTGGCTAGTACTGCACATGTCCAAATAGAACCTGATGATTGATTGGAGGTGTGTAGATCAGTTGAGCGATCTCTCGAGCCTACTGTCCGTGCTCTGGCGTGTTATGACACTGTTGATATCACCAGCTAGGTACCGTGTACACATTTAATTGAACAGTGTTTATGCTCCTAAAGCGAAAGTTGATTGATTCATGTAGATAGATCTATCTCCTCAGTCTAGTTGGGAAACACCCCTGGATCCTACACGCCGGCCCTCGGCGGTCACAACACGGGGGCGGCAGCCTGGTGCAAGAATGCGTTCACCAAGCAAGGGATGATATCCCGGCAGTCGCCAGCAGTAAGTTACCGCTAGCTTGTTCAGATAGAAGGATATATCCCGACAGACACCGTATCCGAATTTAGTCCGAATACCATACAAATACTAGGGGAAATTGGGTGAACGATGAACAAGCCTATCCCAAAAAGGCCATAGCGGTATTTGACCGCTCCTTTAGTTTGTCAGGATCTGCTCGAGATAACGAATGTTGCTACTGTTTCAGTATTGTCCAATAGGCTCCCAGCCTCTCACACAGTTTTTATTTTGTCTCGTAGTGCAGCTTAAAGCAGACCCTGGAGACTTAAGGTCTTATAAAAGCCGCAACACACTACGGATAAAAAAGGTGAAGCACATTATATCCTCCTTCGAACATAAGTTAAGTAGGCTTCTTGCCTTCATTTAGCTGATATCGTCGTCCTCCAGAATGCGTACAATCTCCTATTTCCCACCAGGTGTCCGTCCGAAACAGGCTCTGTTAGCAACCGTCGTCATGTTGAGGCTGGCTATGCACTGCGACGCAGCTGTTCAATGCACTGTTATCAATTCTCCAAATTGCGGCTCAAATCACCATCGCCAGACACATAAACTACCAACCAATGTAGGCTCCACCTACTATGCCGACGGATTCCATGGTGGTACTATGTATGCCAAATTTCAATCGTCAACCGCAGTCAATGGGTAAGACATCATCTGCTATCCAGGTGACAATGAACCTTCCGTTGCTAATATTGTCTATATATAGCAACTCTCGGTACCACGACTTGACGTATAACTTCAATCTTGGCTCTTACGACGGCACATACTGGGTTAGGTTGCCCACCGCAATTGGAGGGGGAACGGAATGTTATGCAGTTTACAAGAACTGCGATGTGACAGTGGATTTCTGGGACATGACGGAGCCAGTGCCATCCTCATACCAGCTGACATGATTGATTTAGCCATAGGGAAAATTGGTTATAGAGAGTTACTATCTTCTCTTTCATGAAGCTATTCATAACCGGCACCGCTTCGCCCATGAAGCGGAGGTGAAAACGTGGCTGGCTGAAAGCCGCACGAGCCTATTGTTATAACGCACCCTCTTTCTTACGTTTCATAAGAGATGCTTCCCCTCATGTTATTCTTGCATTAGTTGAGTTGTCCTCACCGAATCACGGTATATTGAACCTCGATGTCCTCCTGGAGACTCAATGTTAAATAGAGTGTTCCGTGAAAGATTCGTGAGGAATCCTCAAGAAACAGTCTTACCACATTTGAACTTGTTACTTTCTACCTTACCTCACTGACCGGCCTCCTACCCTGCAGTTAGACTTTATCTAACCTGAATACTTGCGTTTTACTGGAAACTATAGATTCGTTGACCGACCTCTACGCTTGGCATCAGTTGTGTTGCGAGCAGGGTGGATGATGGCCACGCTGGACGAGCGCGGTAGGTCGCTCAGCAACATCTTGCTCTCCTTGATCTTCAGGCGAGTTCCATGACGGACCCACCATTGAGTCACCAGGTGGTCATACTCCTCGTCAAGATTGATGGCGGAGATATTCTCGCCGGTATCACCATTGAACAGATCATCCTTCTCAGTGAGGTAAACGATCTTCAATGGTTCCAAAGCGCCGGCTAGCTCACCAGCAGCCACATTGGCATTAACACTGAGCATCTGGCCATCGGGGGTCTCGGCCATGGAAGTCAGGATGGGTAGGCAGCCAGCTGCAATGGCCGACTCACTAGGCTTTTTCTTCACGCCATTGATCGTACTCACCAGGTTATACTTGAGCTTGTCCAGATAATCGGCCAAAACCACACCGGCGGTGATCGGCCGAGCATGGACACCCATACGCTCCGGCTCCTCGACCAACTTTATGTTCTCCTCCGGAATGAGCTTGCGCGCCAGCGACGGGGTCTTGCCATCCGTGACCCGGATCCCATTCTCAAATTGGGGCTCGGCACCGGCGGCTTGTATCGTGCGGTTGAGCTGCGGACCAGCACCGTGGACGACAATCGGGTAAAGACCGACATGGTTCAGGAAAGCGAGGGCCAAGGACAGGGTCTGGAGGTGCTCGGTGATAATCGCACCGCTGGCCTTGATAACGGCGAACTGCTGGGGGGAAACGGAGGAGAAGTGGGACAGGTACTGCTGGGCCTCGCCCTTGGAACCAATGTTGCTCCGCAGATGGACGACGGTGCTCCGGGTCGAGCTCAGGAGAGGGTCGGCGGCGCGCGAGTGTGGTCGGCCCTGGCGCAGGGGAGTCGACACAGCGATCGGAGGGGCTTGGTGGAAGCTAGCGTGGAGTGAAGGGACAGCATCTTGATCACCAACACGCGGCAGCTTTAATTGATAATTAGCAGGTCGCTAGGGGAAACGTCCTCATTTTGTAGAACGGATTGAGAGGAGCAGAGAGAGGGTGTTAGGGAGAAGAGGAGGAGAAGGAGCCGCGCATACACTACTAACCATGGGGACCTGAATATTTTTTTCTGCATAGCTCCGCACCTCGTAATCTAGGCATATCAACTTCAGAAAGTCTGGCCGGGATGAATGCGGGAAGCCGCAGGAATGGATGGTGTATGCATCGCTGCTGAGACATGGGCAGGAGGAGACTATGAACGAGAAACTCCGACAAGGGCTCACAGATTCGTGTCGAGTCAAGAGGCTTTTGGACATGACAGCGACGGGAGCCAATCTGAACCGGGTGGCTGGCAAATTAACGTGGAGGGGTTAGAGGTCACGACATCTAGGCCCCTCAGCAAGCTGCCGTAATTCGCCGTGGCAGGCAGATGTTCACTCACGCAGTGCTTCAGGTCAGGCAGAGACCCTTAGTTATGCTTTTCAATGTCTGGTTTTATTTCCTTTTTGAACATTATATGTATTGAGGGCAAATTAGACGGAGGCGTGGACAGCAATGCAATTGACTGTATGGGTGTTCTGATAGATTTATGCTGATTTATAGATTGTGATTCGATTCTGCACTTTGTTCTATAGTTTCAGTTGGGAGAGTAGTAATAACTTGTACTGTAGCTATGCTTTACTTTCCAATTTGGGCGCTTCTCTTGAAGACTTCCATCGATATAACAGTATTCGAGACCTTGTCCCAATCCGACGAAAAGCATATGAGGGAACTCCTATGTTCGGAAGATTGGGCCATGGTGATTGAATACGTGCTTTGGTGTTTCTGGTTAGTTTGTGCGTTTTATCCTCATCCCAGGGATTGACCATACATATAATATGACACTTCTTGAGTTTTCCGACTGTCTTCAAGCTCGACGACAAACAGCTCCCCGACTACGGGAGCCCGGGTAATGCAAATACCAATGGCAGGATCAAGTGGTACCTTATTACCTTGAGAATCTGCCAATATCAGTTCCGAATTCGCATAGTGTGCTTCAAGTGACCGCCTGCTTATCCTATCCCGTTTTTAGTATTAAATATTTTTTTTACTACCACTTCTATCAAGGGAAAACATACAACAGATCACCTTGCGGAGAGTATGAAGCTATGTCGATGGAGAAACCCGCGCTTAAGATTTGCAAGTTGGGGTTGGGTCGTATGCAACTCCCTGCAGAGGTATTCAACGTCTAGCACCCGCGCGTAAAGTGGGTCTACGAGTGCAGCATTGCTGCTAACATCGACGGGCATGGCGTAAGTTCTTGTCTGCGGGATGATGAGCAATATTGAGGAGGAGTTTCAAGAGGTGCTTGAGGAGAGAAATGGAGAGAACCACGATCTTTCTCAGTTGCTGGACCAGCTCAAAGCCGAGAAAGCGCAAAAGAGTTCGGAATTGCAAATCGCTGTCATGGCAAGGGATACTGCATTAGCCGAGCAGCAGAAGCTCCAGCGTGAGATTTGCCAATTGCAGCTGCAAGTGGAATCCACGAACACCGCTCTGCAAGATCAGGTCCCGTGGAATGATATACAGCTGGTGTTGGATCAGGCACACGCAGAGCTGGTATCCGCAACCACTCGATTCTGGGGTGCAATCGACGTCCTCCAGAACAGACGACTGGCAACGTACTTGCCGGGCTCCGGAATGATCCAGGCAGAATGGCCCGATCAGGGCGGCGCGGGTATGCTTGGCCAGGATATGCTTCCCAGCATCTCCGAATCGAAAAGTAACCATGTCCCAGGTATTCAACCTGAACTACCTACCGCCAACTGAGATGAATCTTTTGTCTGACGATTAGGGTGCGTTAGCCTGAAAAGGTCCTTACTTTCCTGCAGAAGATGGTTTTCGCTGTATCCGACGTGCAGATATTTCTTGAAGAAGCATTTTGCTACGTTCTGATTATATATGTCCTGTGCCAACCCGTGTGTATTGTAAATTCTATCAATTGTCCTAGGTCAGGGCTACGTTCTTTCGTAACTTGAGCACGCGCAAGCACCTCGATACGGTATTCAGCATCAGACCTATCAAGGCCGAGACTCTCAGATACGCTTTAGATGAGAAAAAATACCTTACCAAGTTGGCCTGTGGATTGTTACTCACATGGTCTCTCATGCCGTAAAGGAAAAGCTTCTCTAATGATCCGATTGGAATATCGCTAATATCTGTGTTATGGGTTTCGTGGAGAAGCCCGCGCTTCTCTTGTACATTATAGCCATTATTTCTTCTCGGCGTTCAGTCAAAGCTTGCCGTAGTATTTCTGTCCAATTCAATAACAAATAGCAGTTTCTCGTTGGGTCAGATATCGCAAGTCAATAAATGTGGCACTACTGTGCGTATCAACCGCTAAGGATCGTACTTCAATAGCCGCAACCAATCTTTGATCATTTGTTACATGTGTGCGATTCTTGAGCACTACTGTAGTTTTAGCTTTCTTGAAAATTTCCTCACTTACACAGACCGAGTACAAGCATAGTGGGCCAGGCAATACAAATCAGCTGCAATGATGGAACTAATCAAAGATTTAATCTACTCGGTAAAATGTGGTGGCTCGCGACAATAGCCCGAGGGTTCAAAAAAGCCATCTCGGTACAGTCCATATACCAGTCAAACTTTTCTGTCTGCAGAGCTTAGAAGATCACTGGTAAAATACAAACACCCCATGCAACGACAAACGGTCCATCGCTCGCCATGGCATTAGCTTGGCACTGAGTCAATTGAGGCTTATCCAGTGACCGTCCAATCCGGCGTCAATGATGAGCGTGTTCATATTCTGTTGGTTGAACTGGTGGTCATACCTCAAGACCAATACAGACTGATCTTGCTCTGATATACATAATGTGATACCCAAGTAAACCTCCAGTCGCATCACTGCTGCCGACGCAAGGATCGTCCGATCTTCTGGCCCTCTGTAGCTTTGTTTGAACCCTGCCGTGTCCCCTTTTGGATCTCACTTTCGACGAGTGTCAATCGACCAAAAATGTCGGCCAGATCATTGCGTATCGATTCATTCCAGGTGGTTTGGTCCTGCGATGAGCGCTCAATAGACCTGCGGAGACAGTTAGCGCTTTACATTGTCACTCAAGATGGACCACAACTGACCGCATCCGGTTATCTAGTCTAGATGTTGTTAGCAGGCCAATCATGATTATGTGCTTGATGGGATTTTACTTACTCCGTCAGGCATTCCAGAGCAACCGAATTGCCATCTCCGGAAAGCTGAGTCTGCCCGCGTGGTTCCAAGTCCCTTCGGTGTCCAAACACAGTCTTTCGCTGTCGTACAGCTTCTTGCTCACTCTCATCGGCCGAGGTGCTATTTTCCTGGTCGACAAAGTCATGTTCCTCCTGAAAGGATGAATCATCCTCTGTGGTATCGCCTGTAGCGGATCTGGATGGACTACCAGTATCCTCAGACTCAGAGGACGACAAGGACAATGCACGTTGCAGTCGGCTTCGAAAGTTGTGTCGTCGAGGAGTGTGCGAGACTTTGCGAATTCCGCCCATACTTGGGTCTGAGTTACGCTGGGGTGAGGAGTGGTCCTACTTCTGGTTTTCTGTGATAGGAGGAGGCGCTCGGGTTTTATAGCATGTTGCATCGCGGGATCCGGATTGACTGTTTGCTCGCTCACAATTGAGGAGAGGACCGTAAGTGCACGCATTTTTCATTCCTACTTTCTACCCGTAGATATTCTATTGCTGAATCTGCACATTTTTTAACAATGACTCACTAAGAGGCGGATCAGACAATAGAATTTACCAAATGGTGAAACAACGAGAAATTGTCAACAAGAACGGACTCTTGTGGCCGCGTTCAACGTTGTTGATTCTCAACGATGTGCGTTGCATCAAAAATGAGGGCTCGTTTGGGTCTCATAAACACATAAAAGTCGGTTTTATCTGCCACACTTCAATCTTTTAAACTCAACAACCTACATCTACAAGTTCACTTTCTGCAGTTTTCTTCACCTGTTCTGACCACTTCTGCCAACTACCCAAGCATAACCATGTCCCCACGTAACGCATGCGGCTGGCCAGAATGAGAGGAGAAAAACCTTCTTCCATGGTTGGATGCCCATCCGCAGCTGTCGTGGAAAGCTCTCTCCGACGCATATTATGAAGAATACCAGGTGCATCGAAGCGTTGAATCTTTACGAGGGAAAAAGTACCATATTCTGCGGAAGCAGAGTGGCACTGGCACCAAAGCTCCCCAAAAGTCAGGCAAACCAAAGCGAGCCGTTCCCGTACGATGCTCGGTGGTCGATAGCGCTTCACAGTCGAGTCTTTCAGCCAAGACCCCTGCCCAAAGGAACATCGACAAATGGTTCCAAACGATTCTAGCGGTCGACCCTAACCAGCCTGATGACAGCAAAAGGCCAACTCAAACGAACCCAATTCCAGGTACGAAATACTTAATCGTCTCATATTACATGCTGATGCTTTGCCACAGACCGCTTGACGCCAGCACCGCTTCCGTGCCGGCCTAAAAGAACACGGTCGTCATCCTGGAGGTGGGACTATGTGCATCGTGTCTGTGCTGCTAGGAAGCTGAGATACCGGCGAACAGAGCGTGTACTTTAGCAGCATTCATCGGCTGGATCGCTACATAGCGATGTCCAAGGAACAGTGGCCAACTACCACGATACACTAGTCCAAGTAAATGTTACTATAATAAAGGCGGTGATCAGCAATGAAGCCTCAGCATGAGGAATATAAGCGTAGTTGTATATCATTTCATGTATTCCGTAGAGGAAGTAGCAATCGCCCTTCTTAGGAATGACAACAATATAGAGGATGTCCCAAAGTCAAAGGACTCGAGCACGATGGTGGTGCCCTTGGATCAGGCCCGCCTACACATTTTCATCCTTGTCATGCAAAACCAGGAGGATTTCATCGGAGTGTTATGTGGCCCGGTAAATACTGCGGACAGCATATAAGGATTTACGATACTATGAGTGTTCCCATGGGGAGACAGGACATGGTAGCAAGGGGGCTCTAGGAAAATGGAAATACGGCATTCTTGTTGGCTCAAGGTAATACGACTGCTTGGATTTGATAGGGTCGATGGTCGAAAGCAGGG